GAGCCCGTCGTCGTCGTCGAGAAGCCCAAGAAGAAGGAGAAGAAGAAGCACAAGAAGCAGGAGAAGGAGAAGGAGGTCAACTGCAGCGACCTGCTCGCGGCGAAGATGAAGGCGGAGATCATGCGCGAGATGCGCGCGCAGGAGCTCGAGGACGAGCGCCGCGCGGCCGAGGAGGAGGCGGAGCTCCAGCGCGAGCTCGAGGAGGAGGAGGCGGCCCTCGCGGCCGTGCCGGCGAACCCGGCCGTCGCGGCCTTCAGCCTGCGCAAGACCCTCGTCGTCCAGCGCTCCTCGAAGAAGATGATGAATCGATTGGCGGAGATGCGCCTCAAGAAGGAGAAGACGCGGCGCGCGAAGCGGCGCTGGAAGGCGGCGATCCGCTTCGCGAAGATGCGGGTGAGCCTCGCGCACAAGGGCGACATGTCCAAGAAGGTCAAGGCCGGCGAGACCGTCGCGGAGAAGCTCATGGCCGCGCAGGAGCGCGCGCAGCGCGCCGAGGAGAAGGCGTCGCGCATCGAGCAGCGCGTCGGCGATCTCGAGCGCGTCACGGCGGCGCGCTACGCGGCCACCGTCGAGGACTCGCGCCGCGAGTCGCGCCTGCTCCTCCAGTGCGCGGCCATGCTGCAGCCCGCGGCCGGCGACGCGCGGCCGTCGCTCGACGACGCGCCCTTCCCGACGACGGACGCGCTCCAGACCTGCGTGGAGAAATTGGCCACGGAGGCGACGAAGGCGCGGAACGCCTACGTGGCCATGGGCCACATGGACCAGGCCAGCGACGACGCGTCGAAGCCCCAGCGGCGCGGCACGTTCATGGTCGGCGAGCTGCTGAAGAAGTCGCACCAGGAGCGCGACGACAAGCAGGCCGCGAAGCACCGGACCTTCCTCGAGGCCATCGCCGAGGGCGCCAAGGCCGCGCTGACGGCCGAGAGCGTCGCGGACTACGTGTCGTCGAGCGGCGCCGCGGCGGCCGCGGGCGTCGATCTGGGCCTCGACTACTTCGTGCCCGGGGCCGCGGGCGAGGCGCACGACACCGCGGACGGCGAGGAGCACCGGCGGGCCAAATTATCGAGCGGCATGGCGCGGTCCTCGGGCGAGATGGCGCGTTTGATCGCCGCCGTCGTCGTCGCGGCGCTCGACGTGGAGATGTGCCTGCGGTCGCGGGACCTGTGGATCGCCCACGGGAAGACGACCTTCGACGTCGCGCCGTCTTTACTGAAAATCGCCGCGGACGCCGCGGAGGCGCTGACCCTGGCTCGGGAAGCTAAAGAAAAAGCCGCGGCCGCGTCGTCCTGGCGCGAGGCGCTCCAGGCCCTCGAGGCGGCGCTGGAGAAGCGCGTCGCCGACGTCGCGGAGACCGCCGCGGCGCTGCGCGCGCAGCTCGACGCCGAGGTCGACGCGCGCAAGCTCGCGGAGGAGGACGCGGAGCGCAGGAAGCTGGAGGACGAGGCCCGCAGGGCCGAGGAGGACGCCGCGCGCGCGAAGTTGGCCGAGGAGGAGGCCAAGAAGGCGTTGGAGATGGAGGAGAAGGCCGAGGCCGCGCGCCGTGCGTCCATCGAGGCCGCGAAGCTCGCGTCGCTGCTGGCCAAGGGCGCCGCGGCCAAGGGCACGGACGAAAAGGACGACAAGGACGACGCGCCCGCGGAGCCGGCGACGGACGGCGCCGACAGCGGGGCGCTCTGGGACGCCTTGGAACTCAAGGCCGACAAGCTCGCGCTCGCGCGGCTCCGCCTCGAGCTCCGCCAGCTCCAGTCGCAGATGGCGGGCGACGGCGCCATGGCCGTGACGCAGAAGCGGTCCTTCAGCGCGCGCTTCCCCGGCGCGCTCGGCGCGCGCGCGCGCGAGGGCTACACGCTCCGCGACGGCGTCGAGATCTGCCTCTCGTGCCACCGGCCGGGCAGCCCGCGGCGGCCGTCGACGCCGTCGCTCGAGAAGGTCGAGGTCGAGCGGCGCCTCGCGCGCGGCGGCGCGCCGACGGGCCGCGGCCGCGCCGTCGTGCGGCCCAAGAGCGCGTCGGCGAACCGGCGCGGCGGCGGCGGCGGCGGGCCCGAGCTGACGCTGCTGCGGTCCGCGTCGGGCGGCGGCGCGCTGAGCGACCCGCGCGTCGCCGCGCAGTTCGGCCCGACGGGCGCCCACCCGGACGCGTTCCGCCGGCCGCGCACGGCGAGCGACAAGGGCCGCGGCGCGCCGCTGCGGGGCCGAGAGTGGCCCGCGGAGGACCAGCGGCTCGACGGCACGTACCCGCCGGGCTACGACCCGCACGACACGGTGCACCGCTTCAACGAGGGTCTGCCGAGCCGCAAGGTCGTCATGCCCCGCACGAACGGCTCGCCCGACGTCGTCCTCAAGAGCGCGACGCTCGGCACGCCGAACCAGTTCCTCGGCCACACGCCGGGCCTCCCGAACCAGGTCCAGTTCACGGCCTCGCCGCCCCTCACGTCCCTCCAGCACTCGCCGGGCTTCACGCCCTCGCCCACCCACCGCGACGCGACAGCGCACAGCGCCAACGCGCGCTACTCCTAGGGGGGCGGGCGGCTTATCGATTTCTCGTTGATCGTGCCGCGAGGCCGACCTTGCCCTCCGTACACGAAGCATGTCCGGGAGGAACGTGTGAAGGGCTGCGTTCCGCCGGCCCCCCGAGCACCAGGATGGCCTGGTGCAGCTGCATGAGCGAGTACGGCATCCGCGTGTCGGAGTGGGACCTGGTCTGCGGGCGGCGCGACGCGACGAACAAGCTGGTCATCTGCGGCGACCAGGAGCTCTTCGTGGCCCACCCGCTCGTCGAGTCGTGGAAGACGAGGATGCGGACCGTGGAGTTCGCCTGGTTCTACAGGGACGTGGAGCGCGGGAGCCGCTTCGAGGGCCGCGTGCGCGACGCGCTCGAGAAGGTTCTCGACGCGTTCCCCGAGGCGGCCGGGCGCCTCGAGAAGCTCGGCGACCGCTGGGGCGTCTGGTGCGGCAACCAGGGCGCCGGGTTCACCACGGGCGACGCGCCCGTGGACTCGCACCTCGAGGCGCAGCGCGTCGGCGCGGCGGACGCCTTCTTCGATCTCGTCGACGCCTCCGAGCTCTTCGACGGCGAGCCCCTGCTCCGGGTCAAGGTCTCGCGGTTCCTCGACGGGACGACGTTCTGCGTCGCCGCGTCCTGGGCCCACGTGCTCTGCGACGCGGGCTGCTTCATCGACCTGCTGGCCCGGGCCTGGTCCGACGCGGACGCGGGCCGCGGCGCGCCCCGGCGGACGAGCGCGGGCCGGAACTTGGTCCCGCGGAGCCGCCTCGCGCGGGCGCCGAGCACGGCGTCCTACGCCTTGTTCGACCCCGTCTTGAACGCCGCGGGCAACGCGCTCACGCGGCCGTCCTTCGCCATGAAGGCGCTCGCGGCCTTTTCGCTGAGCGGCGACGAGCTCGACGTCTTGGTGCGGGACGCGCACACGCGGACGGGCGCGGCCGTGGCGCGGTCCGACGCCGTCGTCGCCCACGCGACGTTGCTCGTGGGCCTGCTCTGCGGGGGCGCCGTCGACGTGCTCCACCCGCACTGCGCGTTCGACGTCCGGGCGTTCGCCGACGAGGACGCGCGCGACGCGTTCTGCTCGTCGGCCTACGCGCGGCCCGTCGGGCCCATGCACACCTTCGACGACGCGGGGGCGCCGGCGGCCCACGCCGCGGCGGCGCGCGCCGCGCGGGACGCGCTGACGAAGGACGGCTTTTGGGACGCGTTCGACGCGGACCGGGCCAAGAGCGACCTGGACACGCCGGCCGTGCTCTTCCACGACTTCGCGTGCTACGACGAGGCCGCCGTCGCCTTCTCGGACACGGCGCCGGCCCTCGCCTGCCTCGGGCTGCCCTACTGGCGCGAGCGCGCGGCGGCCGCGTCCGCGCGGTCCGCGGCGAGCCCGGTCGTGTCCTTCTGCGCGTTGCGGCCCGGCGCGGCGGCCGGGTCGCTCGACGTCGCCTTCACGGTGCCCAACGGCGACGTCGACGAGGCCGCGGCGCTGCTGCGGAAGCTCGCGGAGACCGCGAGAGCGCTGCACCCGGTCCTCCGGAACAAGCTCCGCTCCATCGCGGAGAACGGCCTCACGTCCGTCGCGCCCTTCTCGTCCATGTCCCTCCTCTAAACTTTACGTGTGGCGCTTCTGCTTTTGTGCGCTTCTTGTAGAAGCGGCCGACGACGGCCTGGAGGTCCGCGAGCTTCGCGGTCTTCGCCGCGAGGGCCGCGGCGAGCGCCGCGTTCTTCCGCGCGAGCGCGGCGTCGGTTCGCGCGGCGTCGTTCGCGGGGGCGCGTCGCGCGGCCAGGAGCTTCGCGCGCAGCGCGGCCTCGCGACCGCGGAGCGCCTCGGCCAGCTGCGCCCGCAGCGCGGCCTCGCGGCTCTCGAGCGCCGCGACCTCGAACTCGAGCGCCTCGGCGCGGCCGCGCGCGGCGTCCACGGTCTCCTGCCGGGCGTCGCGCTCCGCGTCGACGATGCGCGACGCCGCGCGCGCGCGCTCCAGCGCCGCGGCGAGCAGCTCCGCGAGCTCCGCGCAGCCGGCCCGCAGCTTGTTCCGCTCCGCCGTCTCCGCGGCGAGCTCCGCGCGGAGCCGGCGCTTCTCCGCCGCCTCCGCCTGGAGTTCGACGCGGTGGAGCCGCCGCGTCTCGGTCGCCTGCGCCGCCTTCTCGGCCAGGAGGGCCGTCAGGCGCTTCTGCTCCTGCTCGTCGGCCGCGGCGCGCGCCCTGTCGGCCTCGGCGCGCGCCGCCGCGTCCGCCAGGAGCGATCGCAGCCGGCGGTTTTCGCCCACGAGCTCGCAATCCTGGTCGACGCGGGCTCGAGCCACCGACGGCTTGGTCACCGGCGGGGCGACCTGCGCCTGCCGATTCGTGACCGCCTGCAGAGGCGGGCGGCGCATGGGGGCAGCTCGAGACGTCTCGCGCATCGGGGCTGCCTCCAAACTCAACGACTTCATCATCGGGGCAATGTTTTGCGTTGCCGCCTTCCTCGATTCTGCCACTGAGCGAGAGCACGTAGATGAGTATGGCCTCGACTTTGCGCGCCGCCCGCGCGGGCCTGTCGCGCCGCCGCCAGCTCCGCGCCTTCTCCGCCGTCGAGCAGCGGCCGGAGCTGCCCTACTGCTCGTCGAGCGACGACCACCCGCACGGCACCTACCCCCACCTCTTCGCGCCGCTGACGCTCCCCTGCGGGCTCACGCTCCGCAACCGGACGCTCATGGGCTCCATGCACACGGGCCTCGAGGAGCACCACGACGCCGACGGCGGCCTGGGCCGCATGGCCGCCTTCTACGGGGAGCGCGCGGCGGGCGGCGCGGGCATCATCGTCACCGGCGGAGTGGCCCCGAACCGCGAGGGCTGGGTCCTGCCCATGGCGGGCAAGATGTCCACGGCCAAGGAGGCGGCGCAGCACGCCTGCGTCACGGAGGCCGTCCACGACGCCGGCGGGTTGATCGCCATGCAGATATTGCACGCGGGCCGCTACGCGTACCACCCCATGGCCGTCGCGCCGTCGAAGAAGAAAGCGCCCATCAACGTCATCACGCCGCGGGCGCTATCCGACAAGGACATCCGGCGGACCATCGACGACTTCGCCCGCTGCGCCGAGCTCGCGAAGAGCTGCGGGTATGATGGCGTGGAGATCATGGGCTCCGAGGGCTACTTCATCAACGAGTTCCTGGCGCCCCGGACGAACGTCCGCGACGACGACTGGGGCGGCTCCTTCGAGAACCGCTCGCGCCTGGCTCTCGAGATCATGAAGGCCGTGCGCGCGGCCGTGGGCGTCGAGGACTTTGCCGTCATCTTCCGCGTGTCGATGCTGGAACTGGTCGAGAACGGCCTATCCTTCGACGAGTCCGTGGAGCTCTCGGCGGCGCTCCACGCCGCGGGCGTCGATATCATCAACACGGGCATCGGCTGGCACGAGGCGCGCGTGCCGACGATCGCGACCTGCGTGCCCCGGGGCGCCTTCGCCTTCGCGACGCGAAACGTCAAAGACGCGTTAGACGCCAAGGCGGCCCACCCGTTGCTCTGCGCGACGAACCGCATCAACGACGCGGCGACGGCGGAGCGGATTTTGGCGCGCGGCGACGCGGACCTCGTGTCCCTCGCGCGGCCGTTCCTGGCGGACGAAAACATCGTGCGCAAGGCCTGGGAGGGCGCGGAGGCGGAGACGAACACGTGCATCGGCTGCAACCAGGCGTGCCTCGACCACACGTTCAAGCTCGTGCCCGTGTCCTGCCTCGTGAACCCGCGGGCGGGCCACGAGACGCTGCTGAATCTGGAACAGGCGCCGGCGCCGCAGCGCGTCGCGGTCGTCGGCGCGGGGCCCGCGGGCCTGTCGTGCGCGTCGGCGTTGGGCGAGCGGGGCCACGCGGTGACCTTGTTCGAGGCGTCGGACCGCGTCGGCGGCCAGTTCAACCTCGCGGCGCGCGTGCCGGGCAAGCAGGAGTTCTGGGAGACGCTGCGCTACTTCGAGAGCCAGCTCGAGAAGCACGCCGTCGACGTGCGGTTGAACACGACCGCGGACGCGGACGCTCTAAAAACCTTCGACAAGGTCGTCGTCGCGACGGGCGTCAAGCCCCGCGAGCTGCCGCACCTGCGATCGTCGAAAAACGTGACGGTCCACGGCTACGTCGACGTGCTCAAGGAGGGCGGCGCCAAACTCGGCGACCGCGTCGCCGTCGTCGGCGGCGGCGGCATCGGCTTCGACGTGTCGGAATTCCTCACGCACGACGCGCACCACGAGCCCGAGAGCGAGGGCGAACTGGACGCCTTCTGCGCCGAGTGGGGCATCGACCGGAGCGGCGCGCGGTCGAACGGTTCCGGTCTCGCGCCGAAGACGGCGGCGCCGCCGGCGCGGACGGTGCACCTCCTCCAGCGCAAGAAGTCGGCGCTGGGCGCCGGCCTGGGCAAGACGACGGGCTGGATCCACCGCGCGGCGCTCCGCCAGCGCGGCGTCGAGTTCGTCCGGGGCTGCGAGTACGTGTCCGTCGAGGACGACGGCTTCCACGTCAAGGTCGACGGCGAGCCGCGCGTGCTCGACGTCACGGACGTCGTCCTCTGCGCGGGCCAGGTCTCCGTCAACGACCTGTACGACGAGACGGACGTCGACGCCTTCCTCATCGGCGGCGCGCAGAAGGCCGGCGAGCTCGACGCGAAGCGCGCCATCGACCAGGGCTACCGCCTCGCGGGGGCCATCGAGACCGCCGAGCCGGGCGCCGTCCTCGAGATGCCCGTCGGCTGGCAGGCGTCGGCCCTCAAGATGCTCCGCGACGCCATGGGGCGCAACTCGGCCTAAGGGCCCCCTTCTTTAGTTGGACTAGTGATTGAAGGGGACGCGCGCTCGACTGCGTCCGTCCGGGGAGGGGAGGTGGGCCCGCGGATTTTGTTGTGTCTCAAGTTGCAGTTCGAGAAACCCACCTTGCACCATTTTACAGTGCCGGGCAGGGCTTTGTGCGTGATAGACCGGGCCGGGGCGGGCCTGGTCGTCGTCCCGCGGCGGGCCCCGGGAGCGGCGGCGCGGAGCGTCCCGGGCCGGCGGCGCGGCCTCGGCGCGCGGCGGCGGGCGGCGCTCGCGCGTAGCCTCCGCCGGGCGGCCTCCGCCGGGCAGCCCTTGCTTCATGGCCGTCGAGCGGGGGTCCCTGGGCGGCCTGCGGACGCCGGACGACGCGCCCTTCTTCTTCGAGTCGGCGACCCTGGGCCGGCCGCCGCCGCCGCCGCGGCGGAGCTCGACGCCCATGGCCGCGGCCGCGCCGCGCGCGGCGGCGGCGCCGCGGCGGAAGCCGTCGATCTTCTACAGCTCCGGCCGCGGCTCGGCGTCGTCGAGCGGCGGCGAGGACAAGGTCGCGCGCCTGTGCTGGGCGCGGCTCGTCGAGGCCATGCGGCGGCGCGACGTCGCGGGCGCCGCGCTCGTGCGCGAGTGGGGCAAGCACGGCGACGGCACGCTCGTGAGCTACGCGGAGTTCTGGCGCGGCCTGGCGACGGTGCTGGGCCCGGGCATGGCCCACTTCTCCCACAGCGAGCGGAAACGATTGTTCTCCTGCGTCGAGTCGAACCGCGAGGGCATGGTCGCGACGCGCGCGCTCGCGAAGAAGATCGAGGTCGTCGAGGCGTCGCTCGCGCTCCAGGACGCGCCGCAGCCCGCGGGCAAGCCGCGGGCGTTGAGCGTGCGGTCGCGGGCGCGGTCCGAGGACACGGAGAGCGTCATGTCGACGGACCTGAGCCACCGCAACGCCGCGCGCGAGCTCCGCATGCGGTGCCGGCGGCAGCGGCTCCTGTCCGCGGACCTCGCGTTCCGCTGCGCGCTGCTGGACCAGCGGCCGCTGCTCTGCTGCCGGCTCTACCGGTCGCGGCCGGCGGCGGCGGCGCCCCTGGAGAGTTTAAGGCGGCCCTTCGCGCAGGCCGCGGCGCCCGAGCTCGGGTTGGTCAAGGCCGTGCACGAGACGGCGCTGGCCATCGGCGGCGTCGAGGTCGGCGACGTCGCGCTGATGTGGGACGCGGGCGCGGGCAACGACGCCGTCTCGGAGCGTTTTGGAAGTGCCTTCGTCGCGCCGGTCCACGGCTTCTCCGGGTCCATTTTAGCCTACGCGGAGGACGCGGCGACGGCCGAGGCGACGATCTTCGCCGACGACGGCCTGTTCTGGTGCGCGCTGGAGGCCATCGCCGCGGAGGTCGACGCGCTGGCCTGCCGCGGGTCGCGGCGGCTGCGGCCCCTCGTGTTCTCGGTGGCCGTCGAGGTCCAGGCCGACGCGTCGGGGTCGCCGCGGCGGACGCCCTGGGAGGCGATCCCGGTTAGCGACGAGGGCGCCGCGGACGCCGTCGCGCGCGACGCGCTGGCGCGGGGCGCCGCGAGCGGCACGCTCGTGGCCGCGCGGCTCCGCGTGAGCGAGGGCGACGCCCAGGGCAGGACAAGAGAGCGAAATTCCAAACTTCAAAGCCTCATATCTCGGCCGTTTTCCCCTCGTTTCGGCTGATTTTTGGACGAGCGATCATCTCTCGGAACGGACTCGAAGCGTGGATGCTTTTTCCGGAACGGGCGCGCGCGGAACACTCACGTTGAAGCGACGTTGAATCACCCTTGTGCTGCCCAGGCGACGCGGTCGTCGGCGAGCTGCGGCTCGTCTGCGCGTCGCTGAGCTCCGTGGATCTGCTGGACGTCGACGGCGACCTCTGGTTCGAGCACGTCGCCCACGGCCTCGACGTGCTGCCGCGGCACCTGAGCGCCCACGCGAACCGCTGGGGGGCCCAGGCCTTCGCGTACTGCATCGTCCACGCGCCGGTCGACGCCGCGTCGCCCGTCTGCGACCAGCTCGCGGAGATCGCCCACGCGCGCGCCGCGGCCTTCCGGGCGGCGCCCTTCGGCCGGCCCGCCGTGGAGTCGGCGCTGGACGTCGAGCAGCTCCAGGCGCGGAAGGCCGCCTACCAGGAGCTCCAGCGCGGCGCGGCCGCGGAGTCGCCGAACATCGTGGACTCCATCGAGGAGGCCCAGGCGAAGCTCGAGGACGTGGAGAAGCTCGGCGGCCGGTCCGCGGCCAACGGCGCCCACGAGGGCTTTTTGGGGGAGAACGGCGAGCCGACGGCGGACCTGCCGCTCGCGTGCCAGCGGCAAAGGTTGGTCGCGTGGGAGCGGTTTTCTCGAATCCAGGCGGCGTTGGGCAGCATCCAGGTCGTCTGCCGCATCCGGCCGCTGATTCCGACGGACGCGTCGCGGGGCCCGCCGCCGGAGGTCGCCGCGAAGCTGAACCCGAAGGCGCGGACGTCCGCGGCGTTCGTGAAACGGGCGGGCAAGGGCCACACGGTCGTCGTCGACTGCGAGGGCCAGGGCCTGCCCTTCAAGGAGCGGGCCTTCGAGTTCGACGACGTCTGGGACGCGAAGACGACCCAGGACGAGGTCTTCGAGTCCATCGAAAATCTCGCGGACGCGGTCCTCCGGGGCTGCTCCGCGTCGGTCTTCGCCTACGGCGCCACGGGCGGCGGCAAGACCTACACGGTCGTCGGCGATCTGGACGGCGAGACGCCGAAGCTCGGCATCGCCTTCCAGTCCGTGGAGGTGCTGCTCGCGTCGCTGAAGCGCGACGCCTCGGAGGACGCGGCGCTCCGCGTGTCCATGCTCGAGGTGCACAACGAGGAGGTCTACGACCTGCTCGACGAGGTCGGCGGCGGCCTCCCGCCGAAGCGGCCCCAGCGCCGGGCGTCGGCCGCGCCGGAGCGCCGCGCGACAATAGCGCAGCGCCGCGGCTCCGGCACCGCGCCGCTCCGGAGGACGCAGTCGACGCCCATGCACGAGAAGACGAAGCTCAGCGTGCGCCTCAAGCCCGACGGCGGCGGCGCCCACGCGCCGGACGTGTCCAAGGTCGGCATCGGCGACATGGCCCACTTCTTGCGCGTCTTCGACGCGGGCAACCGGCGCCGCGCGACGTCGTCGACGTTGCTGAACGCGACGTCCTCGCGGTCCCACGTCGTCGTCATCGTCGAGGCCGCGGGCGGCGGGCGGCTGTGGTTGGTGGACCTCGCGGGGTCCGAGCGCGTCGCGAAGAGCGGCGCGTCCGGCGAGGTGCTGAATCGTGCCGAAATCAACAACTGGTTGGGCTATTCGCTTCAAACCTCTCGAGCTCGGTCACATCGAAGTCGATTCGGCTGATTTTTGGACACATCGATCGCTCTCGTCAAGCTCTCAAAGCACGGCTGAAAATCGCGCGTCGAAATTGTCGCATACGCTCACATTGAAGTCGGCTCGAAGATTTGATTTCCACGCAGGTGCTCAAGGAGGCCGCGTGCATCAACCGGTCGCTGAGCGCTTTGGGCGACGTCTTCGAGGCCATCGACAAGAAGCGGAGCCACGTGCCCTACCGGAACTCGAAGCTCACGTTTTTGATGCAGGACGTCATCGGCGGGCCCGGCGCGCGCGTGCTCTTCGTCTTCGCGGCGTCCCCGGCGTTCGCGACGGCGCCCGAGACGCTGTCCAGCTTCAAGTTCGCCGCGCGCATGCGGACGATCCACCTCGACGGCGAGCACCTGTCGGAGAAGCAGAAGGCGACGGACGCCATCTTCGCCATGTGCGGCGAGCGCAACGAGCGGCGGCTGCTCCAGGCGTACCTGGGGGAATTGCGGGACGCGGAGCGGCGCGCGCTGGAGCACTGCGCGCCGGAGACGCGCCGGGCTTTGAGCTCGTCCATCGACGAGGACGAAGTCGTCCTCGGGCTGCTGAACGACCGGCCGCCGCCGCTCCTGAGCGACCGGCCGCCGCCGCCGCCGGCCGCGGCGAGCCCGCGGAGTTTACTAGGCGACGAGCACAGCGAGCTGAGCGTGCTGAGCCGCGTGTCGTCCGCCTGGGCGACGTCGGAGCGCGAGCAGCACCTCGAGGCGGAACTAGATTCGTTGCGGCGGCGCCTGCGCGAGACGGAGGAGGCGCTCGAGGACCGGCGCGCGTCGTCGTCGCCGCCGGAGCCCATTGCGGCGCCGGCCTTCGACGACGACGACGAGGTCCCGGCGGAGGAGGACGCCGCGGCGGACGCGGACAATGGGGAAACCGCGGCGGAGGAGAGCGACGAGCCGCCGCCGCCGCCGCCGCCGCCGCTCGCGTCGCCGGCCGCGGTCGTCGACGAGGCGGGCCTCTGCCCGGCCACGGTCAAGTCGGCGTCCCTCGCCTACAAGATCATGATGGACCACCAGAAGGCGCGGCCGGCGTCGTCGAGCGACGAGCGCGACGACGGCAGCAGCCCGTCGGAGACGAGTCGCCTCACGTCGCCGGCCGCGTCCGCGTCGCAGGTGAGCCACCGGTCCGTGGGCACGGACAGCGACCCGCCGCCCGACGGCATCCCCTTCCTCGCGCCGCCGCCGCCGGGCGCGACCGTGCCGGAGCAGGCCGTGCCGCCGGCCTACGCGGCGACGCCGCCGCGGCGCGCGTCGCCGCCGGAGCCGCGGCGCCGGAGCGGCGGCGACGACGACGATTTGAAGGTCATCCAGCTCTTCGACCCGGAGAAGCAGGCGCGGAGCCCGCACCGGCGCGAGTCGTCGAAGAAGAAGCGCCGCGACCGCCAGATCGCCATCGACTTTGTCGAGAACGAGGTCGTCGGCGCGACGGGCTGCTTCGCGCTCGCGTGCACCGAGGAGCCGCCGAGCGACGGCGAGTCCGACGACGGCCGCGCGCTCGGCCGCCCGCGGGCCGTCGACGTCGCGCCGGGCGTGCCCGACGCCGCGGACCGCAAGGTCGTCGTCTCGGTGCACCGCGCGCGGAAGATCTTCGGCGGCGGGCACGCGGCGGAGTACGGCTCCGTGAACCCCTACGTCGTCTGCCAGTACGGCGGCGCGGAGTCCGTCACGGCGCCCGTGCGGTCGACGCTGAACCCCGTGTGGAACAAGGACCTGACCTTCGCCTTCGAGGACGGCGAGGCGCCGCGCGCGACGCTCTTCCTCTTCTCGAAGAACGACTACCTCAACGACTCGCTCCTCGGCAAGTGCGTCGTCAACTTCGAGCGGCCCGAGGGCCACGGCGGCACGGAGCGGCTGCTCGCGCGGACCTGGCTCGCCGTCGTCCCCTGCGAGGAGCGCGAGCGCGAGGGCATCGAGCACCTGTGCTCCGAGTTCGGCATCAACATGCGGCCCCAGCGGTTCCTCTTCAAGAAGGGGTCCCTGGGCAGCGTCGAGATCTCCGTCTACTCGTTCGCCATGGGCGGCCTGCTGAACAGCGGGTCCTAATGTTGTTTTTCGCGCGGTTAGCTTCAGGCGTCCCGGTCCGAGCGACCCCGCGGCCCGAGAGAGAGAGAGAAGTGCAACACCCTGCAATGCAATGGCAAAAAAAATCTGCCGAACACGCGGACTCACTCAACGTCGGCGCACGCTGTCACCGGCGTTTTTTGTCAGCGCAACCAGTGCATTGTTCAGCAGCTCCTAGAGAGCCGCAACAACACCTACCACCACCCTTCCCCGCTCACCCGCCGCAAAACCCCGGAAGCATGAGCGTCGAGGAGGAGAACGCGTGGCAGGAGCCCCGCGCGCGCCGCAACCGGCGCCGCGGGTCGGGCCGGGCGCCCCACGGTTGCGGCCCGACTCCCCACGGTTGCGCCCCGGCCGACGACGACAGCGACTCCCTGAGCGATTTCTCTCTCGTCGACGCCGGCGAGGAGGCGTCCGCGTTCGACGACGGCCTCTCGTACTGCGACGACCGCGATTCGCTCGAGGAGTGGGAGTTCATGGACCACGGCGTCGTGAGCCGCCTCGTGGAGCGGTCCCTCTCCTGGGTCGACGCGGCGCTCCGCGGCTTCGCCGGCGACTTCGCCGTCCGCGGCGGCGGCGCGGCCGCGACGGCGCGCGACACGCGCGCGGCGAAGCTCCGCGCGGACCGCGAGGCCGAGCGCGCCATCAAGCGCGCGCAGCGCCGCGCGGAGCTCGTCAAGGACCGCCACGGCGTGCTGAGCTCCGACGAGGAGCTCGAGGCCGCCGTCGCCGCGCGCCGCGACTTCGCCCGCCGGAACCGCCGGTCGGCCTCCGCGCTCCGCTGCAAGGGCAAGGCGCTCTCGAAGAAGGCGGGCCGCGCCGCCGCCTGCTGAAGCGATGCGTCGACGACGCACACCACACCTGTCCATACCATTCTGTCCATAGCGCGCCGCTTCCGCCTCGGAAGCGCCGCGCGTCTCTCCGGCCCCCCGGGACGAAAGAACCCGGGGGCCCGGCCGCACGCTCCCCCCTCTGCGCATAGCTGTCCCCCGCCAATTAAGCGGGCCCTTTGGGAGTGTCCTTTGGTTTCGGGTGGGTGCGGGCGCGTCGGCCGCCGCCGGGTTTGTCGGCGCGCGCGGCGGCCGCGGCGGCCTCAAGCAGTGCGCCCACAGTTTCTTCCGAGGATACGATCAGCGCCTCTGACGATTTAAATGGAGCCACGCAAGCCTCGCAAGGTGGATGCTGTATCTCGCCGCGCCGGTGGTGCCGCCGGAGAAGTCTGGGCAGCCTGTTAGCCCGGAGCGTCTGGGCACCCGGGCAGCCCGTTCAGCATGTCGGCCCTCGTCGCCAAGGCGCCGCCCTCGAAGCAGCTCCTGGCCCTCGACGGCATGCTCTTCCAGAGCGGCAAGAAGACGCCCCTCTGCGGCGACCCCGAGGAGCTGCTGCCCCTCCTCGTGTCGAAGCTCGGGAAGCACCCGACGCCGGCGACGCTGCACCTCGTCGCGCGCGTCAAGAACGACCTCGGCGACCTCGCCGGCGCCGCGCGGGACCTCGAGGCCGCGCTGAAGCAGGTCGGGCGGCCCAAGACCCCGCAGCAGCTCGACCTCTTCGCGTCGCTCAAGTGCAGCCGGTCCGTCGTCGCCGACAACGGCGGCGACGCCCGGGGCGCCGAGGACCTCTTCGCCGCGGCGCTCCAGGCCGACGGCGCGGCGGTGCGGCGCCACTGCCGGAACCGCAGCGAGGCCTACGCGCAGCTCGGCGACCGCGGCGGCGCGGTGCGAGCCCTCGAGAAGCTCGTCGCGCGCGGCGACGCGGGCGACGCGGCGGAGCTCGCGACCCTGGAGCTGCGCCTCGGCGACTACGACGAGGCCGAGCGGTTGTTTCGCGAGGCGCGGCGCGCGGACCCCTACCTCGCCCGGGCCTACGCGGGCGGCGCGGAGGTCCTGAAGCGGCGCGTCTTCGGCCACGGGCGCAGCGACCGCGCGCCGACCATCGCCGCCGACGACACGGACGCGCGCATCATCGCCGTCGACGAGTGCCTCGAGTTGTTGCGGCGCGACGTCAAGCTCGTCGAGCACGGCGCGCCCGTCGACGTCGACCGCGGCGTCTACGCGAACCGCCAGGCGAAGCTCATCGAGTTCCTCGCCGGCGAGTGCGACAAGTGGAAGCGCGAGCGCCAGCACGGCACCTTCACCTGCGGCATCGTGTTCTGCGCCTGTAACGACGACTAGTTTGTTTTTTAGCAGCAGTAGTCCACGGCGAGGTAGCCCAGGAGCGCGTCCGCGGTCCGCGGCTCGGCCGCCTCGCACCTGGGTAGGCCCGCCGCGTCGGCGCCCGCGGCGAGGACGAGGTCGCGGGCGCACAGCCCCAGGCCCGACGTGAAGACGGCGACGCAGTGGCGCAGGGCCCGCGCGACGTCGTTCCGCGGAACGTGCCGGCCCGCGACCTCGAGGACCCGGCCCATGCGCCGCGCGTTGCCGCCGCGCGTGCCCCGGGCGACGCGGCCGTCCAGCACGAGCATCGCCGCGAAGAGCTCCAGGGCGAGGTCCGCGCTCGCCGGCTCCGCGGCGGCGAGACCCGCGAAGAAGCGGTTCTCGTCGTCGAGCTCCATGACCGCGAGCCGCGCGTGGTCCCGCGCGCCGCGCGACGCGCCGTCGTCCACGAGCTCCGGCGGCCGTTTCGCCGCGAAGGCCACGAGGGCGTCGTCCGCCAGCAGCCGCTCGAGGTACTGGAGCGCGAAGAAGTGGTTCGGGTGGAAGACGACGGTCCCCCGCGGCACCGCGGCCGCGGCCGCGGCCCGCAGCGCGAGCTCCTTCGTCGCCAGATCCAGCGGCGTCCGCGCCCTCGTCTCGCGGCGGTCGATGGCCGCGTGGATCGCGCCCGTCGCCGCCGGCAGGCCGAAGCAGCAGACCTTGGCCGACCGGACGCAGCCCGCGACCATGAGCAGGTTCCAGAGCGCGTTCACGGCGACGACGAGCGCGAGGTCCAGCCCCGCGCGGTCCCCGAGGCCCTTGAGGAAGACGCGCGCCACGACCTTCTTCAGGAGCAGCTTCAGCAGGAACAGCGAGATGCCCCGCTTCCCCGCGTAGAGGAGCTGGACCGCGTAGAGCCGCAGGCCGCTGAGGTGGCGCATGGGGTCGATGCCCAGGCAGGGCCGCACGGGGTGGGGGATCTCCAGCGCCGCGCGCGCGAGCGCCGCCGTCGTCAGCGCGCGCTCAAAGTCCAGCGGCCAGAGCCGGAGGCGGCAGCGGCGCGCGATCGCGCACGCGACGTCGACGCAGCAGGCGTAGATGAGCAGCACCTCGACGCCGGAGACGACGAGCGACGCCGCGAGGCGCAGCAGCAACAGATGCGCGCGGCGCCGCGCGCCGAGCGAGTACGGGGTGAGGTACGCGACGAGCAGGGCGGCCCCGACGCCGCAACACACGCCGAAGAGGAGGGCCCGCCGGACGCTCGCGTCGATGGCCGCGAGGTCCCGCGCCGTCGCGGGCGCGTCGCTCTCGCGCGCGTCGCCGGGGCGCACCTTGCGCCGCGCTTGTTTCCGGAACGTGGCCTGCACGACGTAGCAGGGCAGCCTTTCCAGAAAACTCAGCTCCTTCAAAGCCTCGTCGCCGACGCCGACGTCGATGTCGATGTCGCTGAAGATGTGGAGCGGCGCCGTCTCCAGCGCCCAGTCGCGGAAGGACGCGAACCGTTCGCCGAAGCGCTCCGAGGTCACGCCGGCGAGGAACTCGAGCCAGGACACCTTGCCGTTGCGCGCGCTGTCGAGCGTCGACACGAGGCCCGCGAGCCGGAGCGCGTGGCCCGCCTGCGCCGTCAGCGCGGCCCGCAGCTCCTTGAGCTCCAGGAAGCCGCTCTGGCTCGCGTCGAGGGACCGGAAGACCGCCGCGGACCGTTCGACCTTCGCGACGTCTTCTTCGAGGCGCGCCGCCTCCCAGCCGAGGGGCCGCAGGAGGCGCGCGGCGTCGGCGAGCGCGTAGGGCTCGGGGCCCGCCGCGGCGAGGTCGAGGTTTTTGGATGAAGGCCCGCGGAGCCGCGCGGCTTCGCCGAGCTCCGCGCGCGTGAGGCTGCCGACGCCGCGGATGTCGACGGCGGCGACGAGGCGCGCGAGCAGCGACTCCTCGGCGGCCGGCGCCTCGGCGACGTCCATGCTCTGCTACCCATGAGGGCACATCTCCATAGCGCGCTCTGCCTAAACAAATGCACAGTGCTCTTCAAGTTACGCCGCGGCGGCCGTCGAGGAGCGCCTGGACGGGCCCGCGGAGGACGGTGGCCATGGACCGGGTCGCGAAGAGGGCGTGGCCGCGGTCGGCGATGGCCGCGCGCTCCGCCGGCCGGTCGCGGTAGTAGGCGACCGCGGCCTTGAGGTCGCGGCGCTCCGCGAAGACGAGGCCGCCCGCGTAGGCCTCGCACTGCCCCCCCGGGTCGCACGTCCCCTCGGAGATGACGAACTTGCGGTTCGCGAAGAGCTTGGCGAGGCGCGGCATCTTCCACTCGTCGTCGCGGTCGCCGAACGCGCGGAGGTTGAGCACGACGTCCGCGGCGGCGATCTGCGCGTCGAGCGCCGCGCCGAAGGTGCCGTCCGTCGCCGCGTTGGCGTGGACCACGGGCTGGCCGTTGGGGCCCGCCCGGATCGCCGCGAGCGTCGCCGCGCGGTGCCGCGTGAGCGTCCCGTAGAAGAGCACGGGGAGCGACGACGAGGCGTTCGCCGACACCGCGGCCGCGAGCGCCGGGCGTATGCGCCAGGGCGGCGCGTCGCCGAGGGGCACGTGCGTCGCCGAGATGCCGAGGGCGGCGAGGCTCGGGACGTTGGACGCGCTGTAGTCCCAGACGGTGTTCGCGCGCCGGAGCACCTCGAGCGTCGCGGCCGTCGCGAAGGAACCTGGGCGGGACAAGAGAGATTCAACGTCGCTTCAACGTGAGTGTTCCGCGCGCGCGCGTTCCGGAAAACACATCCACGCTTCGAGAGCGCTCCGAGAGATGATCGCTCGTCCAAACATCAGCCGAAACGAGTGGAACATGGCCGAGATCGGAGCCTTTGGAATTTCGCTCTTTTGTGCTGCCCTGGAAGGAACCGGCCGCGTTCGTGAGGCCGCCGTCGCCGCGGGCGCCGTTCTGGAGTTGTGCCATGCCCGCCGCGAGGGTCTCCAGGTCGTCGGGCGGCACGTACTCGAAGTTGTAGAGGACCGCGGCCTCGTCGTAGAAGAGCGGCCGCCGCGGCCCTAAAACGACGGGCGCGTCCGCGTCGACGTCGACGTAGGCCTGGAGGTTGTGCGCGCCGAGGGCGACCTCCTGCTCGCCGTCGAGGGCGAAGCGGCAGCCGTCCGTGAGCGCGACGCAGGTCTCCGCGCGCGCCGCGAGGCCGAGGCCGCGGAGGCCCGCGACGACCGCCGCCGATATATCCGCGAACGTGCCCGACGTCGACGTGTCCGACGGGCCCTGCTGGTAGACGACGACGACGAACCCGGGGCAGGGCCCGCCGCAGTCGACGGCGAGCGGGCCCGCCTCGCCTTCGTCGACGGCGTCCTCCCGCCTGGGCAGCAAAAGGGTGCGAAATTCCCAACTTCAAAGGCTCATATCTCGGCCGTTTTCCACTCGTTTTGGCTGATTTTTGGACGAGCGATCATCTCTCGGAACGGCCTCGAAGCGTGGATGCTTTTTTCGGAACGCGCGCGCGCGGAACACTCACGTTGAAGCGACGTTGAATCACCCTTTTGCTGCCCTGCCTCCCGCGGTCGCTCGTCCGCGACGGCGGCCGCGACGAGGGCCCAGGCCTGCGCGGAACTCAAATCTTCCACCCGACTTCGATGTGCGCGTAGTTGAAGCCGAACTCTTCGGCCGTGCTTCGAGGACTCGACGAGAGCCATCGATTCGTCCAAAAATCAGCCGAATCGACGTCGATGTGACCGAGCTAGAGAAGTTTGGTCGGGACGTCCCAAACCAGCGGGTGATTTCCACGCAGGCCCAGGCCCGCAGGAACGCGCCTTCGCGATGGGCCGCCGCGGCGAAGAGCGCCGCCTCGACGTCCGACGGTGCCGGTTCGGTGGCCCAGGGCGCGGCCGCGACGGGCGCCCACCAGCGGTCGAGGAGCTCCCGCGGGAAGACGAGCGCGGCGTCGCCGCCGCCGTTCGGCGACGGCGCGGCCAAGACGAGCGCGCCGCCGGGGTCGCCGCGCGCGTAGCCCGCGCGCGCGTGGGCCGCGAGGCACGCCTGGAGCGACGGCGCCGGCGGGTCCGGCGCCTCCGCTAAAACGACGACCGCGGCGCCCGGCGGCGCCGCGGCCGCGGCGTCTCGTAGCGCGCCTCCGAGGCCGTCGTTCGCGTCGACGAAGCCGAAGCCCGCGGCGCCGGCGCTCGCGGCGGCGGCGCAGTCCGAGGCCGCCGGCGGGTCCGCGCCGCGCCGCAGGAGCGCGACGACGGCGCCGCCGGCGGCCGCCCACGCGGCGTGGCGGCCGTCGTCGCTGACGACCGCGACCGCGGACGGCACGACGGCGCCGGTTTTGACGGCGTCGTGGGCGGCCTTGCGTAACCGCTCGAGCTGCGCGTCGCCGAGGCGCCACGCGTGCGCGAACGCGAGCGACGCGTCGTCGATGCGGTCGCCGCGGCGCACCTCGAAGACGGTCTGCGTTGCGACGCCGCCGGCGTGGGCCAGCTCCATGGGCAGCTCGATCGCCGGCCGCGGCGGCGCGAAGAGGTTCGCATCGCACCAGCGCTGGGCTGCTGCACACGCGACGGCCGTGGCGAGGAACGCCCGCCTCGCATCCATCGTGGGGCTGCTGCCGCTGCGCCCGAGGCAATGATGCAGCGCACTTTGCACTGCAACTTTGGGCCGTAATTTTACGCACCCCCCCCTCTAGTCGTCGACGATGAGGACGGTGACGTCGACGTCGCCGACCGTGAGCGACCGGTCCGTGGCGTCGGCGTCGAGCATGTCGTTGACCGCGCCGTAGACCGCGCGGAGCGCGTCGTGCCGCCGCTCCTCGGGGATCGCGGCGAGCTCGCGGTTCGCCGCGTCCGCGCGGAGCCGCGAGCGCAGGCCCTGGTAGGGGAGCGTCCGCGGCGCGTCGTCGAGGTCGATGACCGCGTCGAAGCGGCAGGTGATTTTTTTCGCGTCCGGCGCCGGCGCGAGCGGCTTCGCCGCGGCCCGGGGCGGCCGGTTGCCGCCGTCGACGCGGACCAGTTCGAGCGCGTCGCGCAGGCCGACGCCGAGCGCGGCGAGCGTCAGGCGCTCGCCCTCGACGGTCTCGCCGTCGCGCCGCAGCTTCCACTCGCCGTCGTCGAGGATGCGCAGCGACCCGCTCGCGTCCGCGAGCGCGCCGCGGCACTCCTCCAGCGTCCACTGCAGGTCCACGTCGTCGAGGTCGTAGGCCACGCCCTCGTGCGTGATCGTCAGCGGCATACTACTATCGTCGTGTGTTGGGCCTGCGAGCTTGGTTTGTTGCGTAGCGACGACGGCGGCGGTGGTGTGATGGTGTGGCACGACTGCGAGTGTGTGCTTTTAGCGTTGCTGGCCGCGAGCGCGAGGCGCCGCACGCGTCGGGCGAGCCTGGCGGCGCCGTACGCGTCGGTCGAGCCTGGAGGTGCGGCCTCGGAGAGCGGCGACGCTCTCCGGCCGACGTTCAGCGTCACCACAGCCGTCGCCGCCGTCCGCGCCGCCCGCACGCGCGACCATGGGCAAGCACCCCGCGCACGAGTCCTCCGTGGGCGTGCTCCACTACCCCGCGCTCCTCGGTGCGCTGGGCGTCCTCCTGTTGGGCCTCTGCGAGGCCCTCCAGCTCGCGGCGGCGACGCCCCTGTGCCGGCCGCTCTGCCTTGTACTATTGGGCGTCGGCCTCGTCGGTCACCGCTGCGCGCTCCTCGTGCGCGCCCGCGGCGGGCCCATCGCGTTCCTGCCGCCGGACTGGCGCGACTGGGTCCTGGAGTCGACGCCGCTCGACGCCGCGGAGGCCGCCATGCGCGTCGTCGACTTCCAGCACTGGCTCGGCGTCTTCATCCACTGCGCGTCGGCCCTCGGGGCCCTCGACGCCGAGGAGAAGGCGGCCTTCGTCGAGGAGCTGCCGCCGCGGGTCAGGGACTGGGTCACGACGCCGGGGCTTTTACGGGTCGCGCCGCCGCTCCACAGCGCGCTCGTCTGGCGGCCCGTCGAGCCGCCGCCCCGGCGGCCTTCGCGGACGCCGTCCGCCGCCCCGCGGCACCGGCGGCCCGGCGCCGCGACGACGACGGACGTCGCCACGTTCATGCGGAGCTTCAACCCGTGGCCGATGCTCGTGAAGATCTTCGGCCGCCGCGCGCACCGCACGCTCCGCCGGAACCTGCCCGCGTCGCGCCTCGCCCTCGCCGCGGGCGCGGCGTCGGCCGCCGCGGCGGCCCAGCTCGCGGCGTCGCCGCGCGCGCGCGACCTCTGCCGCCGCGGCGCCGCGAACGCCGCGTTGGGCGCGACGGTCGCGGCGGCGCTCGGGTCCCTCGCGGCGCTCGCGGGCGTCCACGGCGTCCGCTTCGACGACCTGCCGGACGACGACGACGACGACGTCGACGGCGACGAGCCCCGGCGCCGCGACGCCTGGGGCGTCGTCGCTCCAGCCGCCGCGCTCTCGCTCGCGTCGCTCGTCGCGTCGGCCTACGCGGCGTCCAAGGCGAGCATCGCGCCGTCCTTCCAGACGACGGTCTGGAACTGCGTCGCCGGCGCGCTCTCGCACGTGACGCCGCGCCTCGCCGCGGTCGACGGCGACGCGGAGGAGTTCTCCGCCGCGACGAGCTAGTGTTTCGTCGCCGAGTAACGGGCCCCCTTTTTGTTCTCTCGAGCTAGCGTGCTTTTTTTTTCGAGACCTCGTTTGTTCTCTCGCGATGCGAGTGCGGAGGAGGAGCTTGATTGCGGAGCGCTCGCCCGACGGCGCGGCGGCGACGCGGAGGCGGAGCCAGACGCGAAGCAGTCGTATGTATGTCCTTATTCCCGCTTTCGCGTTGTCGTCGTCTTTGACGCAGACGTCCCCCCAGCGGCGCTCCCGTCGAGCCTCCTCGCCTCGCGCGGTCAAGCGGCCTTCGCCGCCGCGGCCGCGCGCTCGCGAACGACGTTCCCGCGCAAAACCCGAAAGCCGCCGAGGGCGAGGACGGCCGCGAGGAAGCCGAGGAGCTCCGGCGGGAGATTGGGCATGCTCCACGACGACGACTCCCCCTCCGCGTCGCCGTCGGAAGACTTAAAGTACTTGTGGTACACGAAGAAGAGCATGAAGACCGACGTCTTGCCGACGGACTTCCAAACGTCTTCCCACGAAGGCATCGTGTTCCGGGGCGTTGACGGCGCGGCTCGAGGGGGGGCGTTGACGGTGCGGCGGCGCGTTGCTGTAGGTTTTTGTCAGTGCAAGTCTGTGGCAAGAAATTTTGCTCGCTCAAAACTGCTCAAGGCAAAAGCCGTGCGGGCGGGCACGCGGGCGACTGAGACAGCCGGACCTCGGCGCGATGGTCGCCCTCCTCACGCTGAGCGTCGTTTTGCCCTGCGCCTACGAGTACGCGTTCATGGAGCGGACGGCGAAGAGCGTCTGGGAGATGACTCCGGCCGAGCGCCTCGAGGAGATCATCATCGTCGACGACGCGTCGGACCCGCCCCTCGAGCGCTTCGCCGCCGCGGACACCTACAAGGTCCGCTTCTTCACGCACGACGAGCCCCGGGGGCTCATCGGGGCGAAGAAGACGGGCGCGGACGCCGCGCGCGGCGGCATCGTCGTCTTCTTCGACTGCCACGTGAAACCCGCGCGCGGCCAGCGTCGAAAATCACGTATGCGAACGGTTTCGACGCACATTCGATGAGAACGCGCCGAGAGCACACGACTCGTCCAGAATTCAGCCGAAACGGCGTCGTTTCGACCGCGCGCGAGCGCTTCGATCGCGAGCGCTTCGACCGCGCAGGCGCCCGACTACTGGGTCCCCTTCGTGTCCCACGTCGAGAAGAACTACAAGCGCGTCGTCGTGCCGACGATCACCAATCTGGACGTCGACACGTGGACGGAGTTCGGCCGGCCGCCGCCCGGCACCGAGGGCATGAGCAAGTGCTATTTGACGTTCGACGGCGAGTTCAAGTGGACCAAGGACGACACGGAGTTCGTGCCGGTCACGTCCCGCGTGGAGATCCGACTTCAATGTGTTCGACACGATCTCTTCTATGAGAGCAATCGATTCGTCGAAGAATCAGCCGAATCGGCTTCGGGTCGACCGAGAGAGAGAGTCCGCCCGCGCACCGGTCGATTTCGGCGCAGGTCATGTCCGGCGGGCTGCTGGCGATGAGCCGGCGCTGGTGGAAAGAGACGGGCGGCTACGACGACGCCATGCGCGGCTGGGGCGGCGAGAACATCGACCAGTCGCTGCGGATCTGGCGCTGCGGCGGCGAGATCGTGTCCGCGACCCGGTCGTACGTCGCGCACATGTGGCGCGACGCGGCCAAGCCCGCGACGCGGTCCAAGTACCGCGTGCCCCCGAATGCCAAGGCGACGAACATCGCGCGCGCGGGCAAGGCCCACATGGGCGGCTGGTACGGCGCGAAGCTCCTCAGCTTCGACCTGTGTGGAATTCAAATCTTCAATCCAACTTCAATGTGAGCGTATTTTAAAAGTTTCGACGCAAGTCGAGAACTCGACGAGAGCAATCGATTCGTCCAAAAATCAGCCGAATCGACATCGATTTGACGGAGCTAGACAGTTCTGAAGTTTGGTGGGGACCCCCCAAACCAGTGGTTGATTTCCACACAGGCTTCGACCCCTTCGTCCAATTCAAGGCGAGCAACAAGCCCTGGGAGCCGCACAACGGCGTCAACGCGACGGCCATCGAGTCGCGCATGGCGACGTGCAACGACGGCGCCCCCGCGGCGTCCTTCGAGTGGTACCTGCGGCGCTTCAAGTACGTCTACCGCGACGGCGGCGTGCTGCCGGCCAAGACGTTCCAGCTCCGCCACGAGGCGTCGGGCCTCTGCCTCGGGCTCGCGGGCCGGACGTGGGGCTCCGCGGCGAAGCCCAGGGACACGGTGCGGCTGCTCGCGTGCAAGGACGTCTTCGAGCGGCGGCGCAACAGTCTCGTCTGGTGGCACCGGTCGAACCGGAACGACGAGGGCGAGTGCTGCGCCGGTCTCAAGGTCTGGAACACGGACCAGTGCCTCGACAGTGCCGCGTCGCGGTCCACCTCGCTGGGCACGGCCGTCTGCGACCTCGCCGGGCCCCGGTCCCAGCGCGCGACGGTCTGGGACGGCCCGGGCCTCAAGGTCGACGTCTTCGGCTGCGTCGCCGTCTCCGCCACGGGCGAGCCCTACCTCGAGACGTGCGGCCGCAACGTCACGCGCTTCCGCCGCCACTACGGCGCCCAGACGCCCGAGTTCAAGCTCCTCTCGCGCGAGGCGAAGCGCGTCTGGATCTACGGCGCCCCGGACGACGCGCGGGGCAGCCCGGCCTACGCGAGGTCCGCGAAGGGCCGCGCGGAGGCGGCCACCCGGGCGCGCCGCGGCCGCACGGACGACGACGCTGGTAAGGATTTGTGAGGTGTAGCTCCCGACGACTCGAGAGGGGGACAGCCCCAACGATTTAGCGAATGAGTCTCATGCCGCGCCACGCGTCGAAGCGCCGCCGGAGCGCGCGCGGCGCGACGCCGACGAGGACGCGCTGGACCACGCCGCGGCGCGCGAGGAGCGCGCGGTTCGAGAGCGCCAGGGCGACGACGCCCTGGAGCCGCGCCTCGACGGCGCGAAGCCGGAGGCGCCGCCACGCGACGCGGCGCCGCGCGCGGTCGCGGCGACGGAGCACGAGGTCGAGGAGCGCGACGGCGAGGGCGCGGCGCGGGGCGACGGCCTCGCGGCGCCAGGCGACGAAGGCGTTCCTAACCACGGCGTCGCCGACGCGCGACGAGAGGCGCTCGAGCTTCGCGAGGACGTCCGCCGGCGGAAGCCGCCGCGCGCCCGCGCGCGCGCGGACGAGGGCGCGCCGGTCGTCGAGGGCCCGGTCGAAGGATTGGTCTGTCCGGTTGCGGAGCTGTCGGCGGAGGGCGGCGAGGGACGTGTTCGCATGCTTGTCGACGTCTCGGCGAGGTTTTCTCTCTCTCTGGGCGGCGAAGGACATGGGAGCTGGTTGTTTTAGGAGCGTTTATGCGAGGGCTTGGTTCCCCCGTCCGGCCGACTTTATGCGTCGTTTGCGAGCGACTTTTGCGCGTGTCGCCGTGCGTGAGAATATCCACAAGAGCAACTCTACCGACGCCTCTCGATCCCTGCCCACGCTCTGCCCTGGCCGGGGGAACACGCGCGGACGCGCCTAGGCGTCACTTCTACATTCTAATAATAGGAGACGCTGCGCCTACGGCGCGCCGCATCGGTCTTCTCGCGTCCGCGTCCTGCGCCCGTCTCATCTCGAGCCACGCCGCGGCCGTCGACACCGCGCGCGCCTCGCG